CTCGTGCTCTCGCGGCGAGGCTTCCGGTTTCTGCAACCGCGGGGCGCGCGTGAGGTGACGGCCGCCAGGACAGAGATAGAGAGAGAGGTGGGGGAGGGGCGGAGTCAAAGGGGGGAGTGAGGAGGCAGACGACAGGGAGAAGAGAAAACGGCGTGTGGGGTGAAAAGTGCGGGGGTTCGGAATAAAAAAACCTGAAATCTAAAAAGCGGCCGGCCACTAAATAGACAGAACGAGCGGCCGAACGAGAGCCGCTCGATCTCGTCCCGATCGACGCCGCGCGGTGTCCAGGTGTCCCCTGGTCGGGAGGTGGGGCCGCGCCGCTCAGACCCGCGTGTGGACCAGTCGCCTGGTCCGATTTGCGCCGCGCCCGCGAGATAAATCGTCCGTGGGACCCACATGTCATCGAGGATTAGGCAGTTCTCCAGCGTTTTAGCCGTCGTGCGTAGTGGGCGGCGGTTTCGAATTTCGTGCCACCCCGTCCACCCCCACCTCTCGCCGCCCATTCCTCCACTTTCCCCCTTTGCTTTCGCCGTTGGTTGGTGCTCGGAGGCGGTTCCAAATCCGCTGGGTTGTGGTCGACGGCGGGGCGCGCCACGAGGGTCGTCGTCCGTGGCGGCTCTGGTACTGCTCCTACGCGCGCTCCTCGTCTTCGTCCCTGCTTGTTTCTCCACTCGCCCGTCCTCCTTTTTCCGATGAGGTCGCTCGTTTTCCGGTGAGGTCGCGGTCGTTGTCAGGGAGGTCGAGGTAGAGGTCGAGGTCGCGGTCGGGGTTAGGGAGGTCGAACTCATTTTCCGGCGAGGTTGAGGTCACCCCAACGGACTACTTCGTTTGGGAAACCGCCGGGTTGGCAGGGATGGGTTAGGGTTGTGCTCATCCTGTCGTTTTTGAGTTGCAGTAGGGGGTGAGCTCGTGCATATGGTTCAGGGAGGATGAGTGGTTCGCGGCGATAGTGCCTCTTCTGTGGATTGAAGCCTCGCGGTGGATCTGGTGTTTTTGATGAGTGTTTTCCCCCGCGGTGTGCAACTCTGTCGCCCCTTGCGTGCAAATTAGGAGCAGCAGTAGACAATTTTTGAGATAATATAGCCAATCTGCCAGCCTTCTGGTGGTTCTCGTGGGTCATGTGTTTTTCTCCTCTTGTTTGTAATTAGGGACCATTACATGTGCAAATTAGTACCTGTGCAAATTAGGGACCATTACCTGTGCTAACCAACTAAGAGGGTGAAACTTGTATCACGACCACTTTTTAGTTGGTAGACACTTGTGTTCCAGTTGCACAAAATTCTATCCAGTTGGCTTCATTCATATAGTAGTTGGCTGTCCCTATGTTCTGCAGTTGCACCAATTTTTTGCTAGTTGGGTTTCTACATACTTTTCAGTTGCACAAGTTGCCTGCTCAGTTGGCTACATCACTTTTACTAGTTGGCTGTCCATATGTTCTACACCTGCACATGATTCTTTAGTTATTCTGTAAGTTGTATTTGATGTGCGCAATGTTGTGTGCAATGCATTGGCTGATTTCGTAGTTGGTGTTCAGAGATTTAAGTGGTTAGTTGCACAAAATTCTCCTCAGTTGGCTACGTCCATATAGTACTTGGCTGTCCATATGCTCTATAGTTGCAGCAGTTGTTTTGGTCAGTTGGCTCACTGTTTTTGTGTGCAATGCATTGGCTGATTTCGTAGTTGGTGTTCAGAGATTTAAGTGGTTAGTTGCAAAAAATTCTCCTCAGTTGGCTGTGTCCATATAGTACTTGGCTGTCCATATGCTCTGCAGTTGCAGCAGTTGTTTTGGTCAGTTGGCTCACTGTTTTTGTACTAGGTGGTTGTCTATACTGTGTTCAGTTGCACAAGTTGCCTGCTCGGTTGGCTGCATCACTTTTACTAAGTTGGCTATTCATATGTTATACACTTGTGCCAGTTGCTCTACTTAGTTGGGTTTACTTAGTTGCATATTCATATGTTATACACTTGTGCCCTCTGCTGTGTGCAACTAGGGACTCTTGTTTGTACAATTTTACCACCAATGCTTGCCAATTTTCCAATATAATCTACCCAATCCACCAGCGTTGTGGTGGCTGTGGTGGTTTATGTGTTATTCTCCTGCTTTTGTGCAACTAGGACCCCTTGATTTGTGCAAATTAGTACCAATGCTTGCCAATTTTCCATTTTAATTTTTCTCAATGTGCAAGTCTTTTGTTGTGGATGTGGTTGTTTTCATGTGTCTCCCTTCATGTTCAACTAGGGACGCTTTTTTCAGAATAAGTTATCTCACTGAGCTTGTTGCCTTTACTTAACTTTTTTCTGTCTAGGTATTACTTGTCACAGTTGGCAAGTAATAATTAGGCAGAAAAAAGTTAGTTGGCTTATTTGATGTCCAGTTTGCACAAGGTTTACTGCCCAGTTGGCTGCATGATTGTAGTAGTTGGTTGTCCACATCTTCTAACTATGTTTTTTTGTTGTATTTCCTTCCGCAGGGCAAAAATGGTTATAATAGGAGGAGATGCGGGTGGCAATGAAGGAGATGTATTTTTATTCACTTTTTTTTCTTTTGTTTTTGAGTTGTTTTTCAACTTATGCATGTATGCTAATGTCTTTTTTTCATGTTTTCTTTTGGTTGCTTAATCAGCGTTCTGGAAGTCAACCTCTTCGCCGGAACTCGAAGCGTCCTGCTAATCGCCAGCCACGACTTGCGCAGAGTGTTGAGCAGGGAGAGGATGTTGAGGTAAGTGGCATGTTGATGACACAAGTCCATTTTTTGGTTTTGTTTGGGTCATATAACATTTTTTTATTTTTTCCCATGCTCATGTTTTTTTCTTAGGATGCTGATCAGTTCCGTGTTGTAAAGCGGACTAGACGTGCAGCACTTGGCAAGGGAGCTGAGTCATCTTCTAGGGTAAGTAAAATCTCAAATATAAGTGTTTTTTCTCGCCTTTTTTTAGATAGTGATGAAATTATGCAGCAGTTCGGAACACTATTTTTTGTTTTTAGTCTGTCAATAACAACCTTTTGTAGTTGACATCTCTAGTCATTTTGATTTAAATACAGTTGACATTAGTTGACATTAGTTGGCATCTTGTAGTTCACTAGTTGGCATGTTTTCATAGTTGACATCAGTGGTCATTTTTTTGTGCAGGCAGCAGTTGCTGGAGAAGCTGTCGCATCTTCCGCAGCAGATGCTGAGGTATGTGGGTTTTTTGTGTTTTTATGAGCTATTTGAATAGTTCTTTACAAACCTTTTTTTAGTTACTGTTTTTCTTGTGTTGCAATATCATTTCTTATTGTTGCACATACACTAGAACTTTTTGTAGCTGCCAGGTCTCGTTCTTTTTTTATTTACTGTTTTATTGTTGCACATTCAGTTGCACACTGGCAGTCTTTGCAGTTGTCCTCATGAGTTTTATTAGTTGCACAAATACATCATGATGATTGATAGTTTTTTTTCATTCTTGTTTTTTCTCTTGTGTTTAATGTTTGTGTAATGCTTTCATTTTCTAATCAACAGGGCAGCGGCGAAGGAGTTGAGGTGGCTCCAGGGGAAGATGTGGAGCGACCATCACAAGCAGGCAGGATAAGGGCATCACCAGCGCGCTTTGCAAATTTCAACGCCTCTCTAACTCCACTACAGAAATCAGAGCTAGTTTCGAGGTCGGTCGGGGGGCTATTGAACTTATCAAACACACTTCCAGCGGACCTCACTAAGTTCCTGGTGCAGTCCTACCAGCCACAGACCTCTGAAATGGTTTTCCCAGGAAGGGGAAGGATCCGTGTTGATGCTGACAGTGTTCAGAGGGTATTTGATCTCCCAAACAAGGGTC